CTGAATGTTAATTCAGAGTTAGCTATAATCTTTCCAGTTTGGCATTCAAACAAAATTGCCTGGCTAGCTGCTCTGAAGGCAGAGCAAAAATGCAGCTCCTTAGGAAACTGCCTGCTCCACAAATTTGTTGAGCCGAAAGATGCATAATGCTTTTCATGGACTAGGTGGACCACACAGGAGAGAGAGCCAGTCTGGAGCTCTTTAAATTCTTACCCAAGAATATGGAGCCACAGGGAATTAGGGTGATAAACTCTACTCTAATGACCTAAAGGAGAACTATCATCCCTGATTTGCTCCTATGACTACAATCCTTTTCACACACAGCAGACAGAAGTCAGATTGTGACACACACTTGCATAAAATCCTGCCATTGGCTTCCCACTGCTGTTAGAATGAAATCCAATTGTTCTGACCTGGTTCACAGAGCCCCAGGTGATCAGACAGCTACTCCCTTCTGACCCATCTCGGGTCAACTCCCTGTAACTCCCAGCAGGCTACATGCTAATCCTCTGACTCTTCCCCTCATAAGGGAAGCTCCCTCTACCTGTAATCCTTTCTCCCCAAGCCATTTCATGATGATTTTTTCCTGTTGTTTACATATATGTGACCTCTACAGACATATCTTGCCTGACAAGCCACTCTAGAGTAATGATAGACTCTCCTTGACCAAACTTCAGACAAGCTTCTCTGTCCTCTTTTTGAGGCCTTGTCCTTGGACCTTATCTTCAACCTGCCTAAACTAGTCTTAGCAAAGAATCAAAAATCCTACCAAGTACTCCCCTCACCTTTGATACATGATCAGCCTCAATATCTGATCAAGTTCTTCATCCCCCACCCTTGATGTTTCAGTCCTTCACCTGACTTTAACATGAATTTTATTAGCCAAATTTAGTAAGAAGCCCCCTACCCTTGATACCTTCTCTTAGCAGTTTTCCATTCACTGACCCTCATTCTGCTCCTAGGCTATAAAAATTGTTTGCTGTATTGGGAACTGGGCACAGCTTTTTCCCCATTGCACTAATATTGAATAAAATCTGTCTATTGTCTTTAACTAATGTCTGATTCTGTTTCTCTTTGACAGTGGCCACTCTGTAACTCCAGGAGGGAAAATATATTCCCAGCCTGGGGCAAATTACCTTTGAAGCCAAAAATAGTCAAAGGGAGAATTAAAGTGGGAGAAACCCATTTATTGCTTACAAGCAGTCATCCACTTCTGCTCACCCGTGTCTCTCACAACCTGGCTGCAAAAAGGGCCCCCTCCAAACCTCTCCGATCCAGCTATACCCTTGCTTCCCCTTGTAATCACCTATTGATATGGAAATAGCTACTTCTCTCCTTCCCTTAGAAAAACCTATTGATACGGAGATGAACTAAGGCCAGGTGAGAGATTTTGGAAATATTGCAATTTTATCCACAACCCAATTCCCTGGTATCAAACTACTCTATTTAATTATCTGCACAGAACTAATCCTCATGGCATTATTATGATGGCCTATTTGTTTATGGCATATCTACTTACATCAGGATGCAAGTCTCTGGGAAAACAGGGCATTGTCTTTCTTGAACACAGCTTCATCACCAGTGTGTTAAGCCTAGAACATGGCCTGGCAATAGCTACATACACAATGAATTTTGTTGAGATAATTTTTAAGGTTATCTAAAGGAGTATGAAAATGTGCACAAGAGAATACTTGAAAGTTAACATACACATCAGATTTATTATCAAATGACAGAAATGAATAAATATTAAAAATTGTCTCCCCTCATTTCTCCTTCATGTATCCCTGTTTTTCAAATTTTCCACTTTGTATTACTCTGAAAATCAGAAAAACTTAAGAAAAAAACACTTTAGAAAAAAAGTAAGCTGGCTAAAAATGTGTTTCTTTGGGAGAAAGCTTTCACTTGCTGCAAATTCTCAGATTATTGATTCTGTGCTGAGAGAAAAATCACATAAAAACAAATGAAAAGAGCAAGTTTTCACAGGGGAAAAAATGGTCAAAAATAGTATTTCCTCCCTTGAAGTTCTAAAACCTGAGAGATTTTACGAAAACCTAGCAAATAACAAAATGGAGGAAGGGGAAGAAGAGGATAAGAGTCTCATAGTACTTAGATACAGCATTATCTGCTTTAAAGAAATCAAGATCAAATGCTGTTCTCCCTGCATCACCTGAACTGGCAGTGAAGAAGTGCAAGTAATCTCTGTGGAACTGTTCATTAGGTGCAGCAATCTCAACAGGAACGGCAGCATTCTACGCCCAACGCTGCCCACCCCTTGCTAGCGCGCTCTCTGATGTCCACACACGTCAGGTTTACAACACTCCTCGCTTTGCTGCTACTTACTTTTTTATGGCAGTTACTGTTGTTGTTTAATCATTTTTCTTTACATGAGCAAGATTACATGAAATGGAGATCCATCTATTAAGGTTAGATAAAATGAAAAATCAATCATTCTCATTTCCCAAGTTGGAAAAAAAGCTTTGGTGGAATCCATGCTGGACAAGCTCCTGCCTCTGGGCCTTTATACAGGCTGTTTGTTTCCTCTGCCTAGGATGCTTTTTTCCCCAGAGAGCCAAATGACTTGTTAATTTCTGTTTTTTACATCGTTATTCAAATTTCATTCTTAATAAAATCATCCTGACCAATGTTTAAAAACGAAATCCCTAGCATTCCCAATTTCCTTTCCCTGCTTTCTTTTCTCCTTAGTAATTATCACAATCAAACATCCCATATTTTCTTTATGGTCTGACCACCCCAAAAATGCAAGCACCATGAGGGCAGGAACACAGTCTTCTGTGTTTCTACTGTATTCTTAGAAAATTAATTTGTTGAGTGAATGAATGATACGCAAGTAAACTTGCCACTATTAAGACTTTTGAGTGTCTTAGAAGTTTATCTATACTTCATACCCTGAAGTATAAGATTGCTAGAAATCTCTCTTGTGGCTAGAAATGGGTACCAGAGTTCAAGAACCTGGAATTTCCACAGCTGCTGTTGTACTCCTAAAATCCTGAGAGATGGAAGACAACCTCAAGTGAGGCAACCAGGCAGTCACGATGTTGGCTGCTACGGGCCTCTCAGAAAGTTGCACGTTATGTCAGAGTGTGTTGCTGGTGCCATCCAAGTCTGAACTTCAGAACTTTCCCCAGTGTACAATTTCACTTTTCCTGGCAAAATTATTCCACATGGGGTGTCAAAATGGTTTTAGTTTGGGTGTCTTTAGAATGTTTGACTTTGGTCTCTTAGAGGAAGTGGAAGCAACTAGTTTCATTAATACAAATTGAGTTTCACAGAAAGACCTAATTAAAAACAAAACAAGTAACTCTCCCTCACAAGAATAACAAGTTTACTAATCAGAGACTTCATTCTATCTTAAACCTGAGCAAGAAAAAGTGAACTATATAAAGAACTTTTAACTGTAGTGGGTCATACTGTGGAATCTCTCTTGAGCCAATATTATGGGCTGGATTATGTCCCTTCAAAATTCATATGGAAGCCCTAACTCCAAGTACATCAGAATGTGGCTCTTAATTAGAGAGTCTTTAAAAGGGTAATTAAGTTAAAATGAAGTCATTAGGGTGGACCCTAATCCAACATGAGTTGTGTCCTTATAAAAAGAAGAAATTACAACAGAAACGTCATACTGAGGGAAGACCATGTCAAGGCACAGGGAGAAGACAGATCCCTACAAGCCACGGAGAGAGGTCTCAGAAAAAAAAAAAAAACCCTGCCAAAACCTTGATCTCAGATTTGTTGCTCCAGAACTGTGAGAAAATAAATTTCTCTGTTTAAGCCACCCAGACTGTTGTAGTTGTTACAGCAGCCCTAGCAAAATAATATAAACAACCAAGAAATGCCACAAACTTATCAGGACAAATACTGTAAAGAGGTAGATTGACATTTCAGAGTTGTTTTGTTCTCTCTCCAAACCATAAGGTTCCTTTTAGACAGCCGCTGGTTTGTTAATGCTTCAGATTTACTTGGTAGTTGTCTATTCATTTACTTAAGAACCCAAGAAGTACCCACAAATGCAGGATAGTAAAAACTTCAAGTCAAGAATGTACATAAAAATAAAAGAACTATAAACCTTCTCAAAAATAATATAAACAACCAAGAAATGCCACAAACTTATCAGGACAAATACTGTAAAGAGGTAGATTGACATTTCAGAGTTGTTTTGTTCTCTCTCCAAACCATAAGGTTCCTTTTAGACAGCCGCTGGTTTGTTAATGCTTCAGATTTACTTGGTAGTTGTCTATTCATTTACTTAAGAACCCAAGAAGTACCCACAAATGCAGGATAGTAAAAACTTCAAGTCAAGAATGTACATAAAAATAAAAGAACTATAAACCTTCTCAGTGAATGAGCTTGCAAAGTCTACTGAATTATCACTCCCTCTCTTACTACTTCTATGTCAGAAATACTTTGGTTGACAACAAAACTTACAGTTAGGAGAGTAACATTTTTCCAAAATAATTAAAACTATAGTCACAGAATTTAGTGCATATATATATCTTTAATCTTTTTCTTTCCTTTATTTCTTCTGTTTTTCTTATACTCATCTATTTTTTTAACATTATCATACAATTTTATAATTCATGAGTGAAAATATTCTAAAATAATTATACTACTTTCTGGAACAGAATCAATAATTATAAGGAAAACTCTTTACAATAAATGAAAAGTAATTTAGCTGATTAAGATTAATAATGCCCTAAGCTCTTTCTCTCCATACTTCAGCAGCAGCTGAACAATCCTTAAAGACACAAAAGAGCACTATTCAACTAATATCACCTTATGTTATTTTGAAAGTGTTAGTATATACAGAACAGATACATTTTTAAAAACTTTACAGAAACCTAAATCAAATATAACCAAGACCAAAATTAGGAATCTATTTGTTAAAAGTTGCCAGTATTCTGCATTATTAAAAATTTTTTTAATTATAAAAAATACACAACATAAAACTCTAACATTTAAAATACATTGAAAGATTTCCTTACCAATATTGGGGTGCTTCAAGAGACGGCAGATTCTAGCTTCTCTTTCCAGTTTCTGATGATCTGTTACAAAAAAAACAAAAATAATTCACAAAATTTAGTTAGCAAAACAGATTAAGACAGTAAACAGCTAACCAAAATGACATAAAGCCTTTACAGTTACTTATCTTGGGATTTCTTTTTAAAGAAATGATCATTTGTACTTGGAATGGATGAACACAACATTGTTTAACAATCTAATTTTTTTTCCCATTGGCTTGATGCCTTATAGAGTGAGAAAAAGAAGTGAATTTAGGCTTAGTAAAAAGGGTACAAAACAACAGTATTCCTTCTTATCTTTACTCCAAGTATATATTGTTACAACAACTTAAGTTAACCCAACATTGACATACACATTAAAGCAAACAATGCCTATCTGGAAACAGGTATGCCAATGGAACTAGTGTGAAATGGAGTTAGCAGTGGTTTATCCTTAATGGAGAAGTGCTCCCTGTCCAGTCAAACTTTCTATTAGCAAGCCTTCATGCAATTGTTGGTCCAACTTCCAATGTTCATGATGCCCTTCCTTATATCAAGGATTTCCAAAAATCCCAAATTGCTTGCTCATCCTTACCCTTCTGTTTCCCTAACCATTTCGTTGAAGGGGCATGTTCCACTGTAACTTAAATTTTAAGAACTAAGACAGACACTTCTTTGGTTTCTTTGTATTTTACGTGCATATAATTTAATCAAAACCACTAGCTAAAGCACAAAATAAACTGAGACAAGAGAGAGGCAAGAACAGAGAAGGAACATGTGCTGCACTGTAGAATGGTCATTAGTTGAGAGACTTTACGTTGGTAACTGATTTAAACTTTACAATAGCCCACTGAGATAGGCAATGTTATTATCCCTATTTTGCAAATAGGGAAGCTAAGACAGAGAGAGGCTAAATGCCTTGCCCTACAGTATAAAATTAATAAATGGGATCTACCAAATCCCAGTATTAATGGTCCTCAAATTCTGTGGTTTCAGAACCCCTTAACACTTAAAAATTATTGAGGATCCCTAAGAGCTTTTGTTTATAAGAATTATGCCTATTAATGCCTACTCTATTACGAATAAAACTGAGAAAACTTTCAAATATACATGTACTAATCCACTTAAAATAATGAACCTATTGCATTAATCTAAGTTACTACATTTAATTGTTAAACTTTATTTGAAATAGCTGAAACTTACAGAAAATTTGAGTAGTACAAAAAATACCTGCCTATTAATTTATTTAGATCTATTAATATTTTACCCTTTATAATCACTTATGCACTCTTCTTCCTTATGTATATGTGTGCATGTGTATGTGCATATTTATCTAATTCACACACATATGTATATACAAATGTATAAATGTGTATTTATATTTATACCCAAAATAATTTTTCTTAAGCATTTGAAGGGAAGTTATAAACTTCAAGGCCCTTCGCCCCTAACATTTTCCAAAATTATTTTTTAAGCTTTAATTGTATTATTGATAATAAATGATGTCAGTTGTCTTCCTTGAAGTGATAGGCTCACTTTGTTCATTTTTGAGAAAATTCCTATCAAAGACCCAAGTAAATGAATAATCATAGCTAGCTTCTCAGTTGTTATTTCAAAGTAAAATGGTGTTCCATGAAAGAGTAGCTAGTTCAGCTTCCAATTCAAACAACTTCAATGTACTTTTCCTGAGACAACCATTGTACTTTGGTATGGAACAGAGGTGCTTTATGCATTCTTCCCATTTAGTTATGCAGAATGTTGCAAAGATGTGTGATCAAAACTCAAAACTTAATAACAATAATAATTTTAATTGGTTCACCAAGGACAATCTTAAGTGAAATGAGGTCTTTTCCTTTTTTTTTCTTGGTCTATACAAAGACTAATAGTACAGTTTGATCTACTGCCTTGATTCATGCAAAGGCCCCAGCAATTTATCCACTATTTCTTTCACATTTTAAGTACAAATGTCACATATGCACAAAAGATAGAAAATGTGTCAGTTTTATTATGTAATTAGTTTTGACCTTGTAGATTCCATAAGAAGAATTCTGGGACCCCTGGATCTACAGATTATGATTTTGAGAACCACTGGTATTTTCTATAAAGAACTGTTTAATACAATACCTTTTTTTTTTTTTGCAATTTAGGAAGATATTTTAAACATATATAATGCTATAATTAGCTCAGAGAGAAATAATGTTTTAAAGAATCTGTACAACATTGAATAAGATCTAACTGTGTACCCAGTATATTTGGATTATCAAATACAAAGACAGATATTCTCTGGCCTTACCATTGTACAAAACTAAGTTCTTCAAATAAATTCTTTAAACTCCCCCTGTCTCTTTAATAGGTTCTCATTCTTAGGACAAACTACTTCTAGAATATTCTTATGTGGAAATACATAAGTAGACACAAAAGGTTAAACCAGATTTTGAAAATGCATCTAATACCATCTTAAATACTGTAAAGTATTTTATGTAAAGCATATGAAAAACATATAGGAATTACAGTTTCACTATAGAGACAGGAATATGCAAATATATGCCCATGTGATAAACATACAATATATATAACTTTCATATATATATCATCTGATACATATAATGTTAAGAAAAAGAAAAATGAGGTACCAAAAGATCTTTATTGACAGTAAGTGGTACAGAGTTATTAGCTATACAGATGAATAAATTTACAAAATTTTATATGGCCTATTCTTATAAGCTGAACTGTATACTTGTGAAATTCATAAGATGAGCTTCTAGTGCTCAGTACCTCAGAACAGCACTATATTTGGGGATAGGGCCTTCAAAGGAGTAATAACACAAATCAAGGAGAGAGGCCTTGGTTAAAACCAACCCTTCTGACTCTACACTGACCTTGGACTTTAAGCCTCCAGAATCTTAGAAAACATATTTCTGTTGTTGAACCACCTAGTCTGAGGTACTTTGTTACAGCAGCCTTAGCTAACTAATATGCTAAGTGTTAGTTTTATATTGCTATCTAATAAATTGTCACAAACTTAAAAGCTTAAAGCAGCACATATTTATAATCCTAGAGTTTCTGTATTTCAGGAACCTAGACATGGTTTAACTGAGCTTTTTGCTTTGGGGTCTCTCACAAGGCTCCAGGGAAGCGATCAGCCAGGGCTGGGGTTTCATCTGAAGTCTTGAATAGGGAATGATCTGTTTCCAAGCCCACATGTTTGGTGGCAGTATTCAGTTCCTCAAGAGCTACTAAGCTGAGGGTCTTAGTACCTAGCTGCCTATTGCCTGGAAGCTGTCCTCACTTCCTTACTATGTGCCAATATGGCAAAGTGCTTCATCAAAGCCACCAGAGGATTCTGGTAGCAAAAGGGAATTGACTCTTATTTAGCCTAATCATGGAAGTGGCATCCCATCACATTTGCCATGTTTGGTTAGATGCAAGTCACTAAGCTGGCTCACTTCTCAGCAGGCAGGCATACCAAAAGGCAAGGACCACTGGGGCTTGTAGACCTTGCCTGCTACATCTGGCATTTCAACAACAGTACTGAAGTTTCAGACTCTAGGAAGATGGCAAAGTAGGGAGAACTTGAACCCACCTCCTGCCTTTATACCAAATCTACACCTACACACAGAGTAATTCATCTTGAGGAAGAATCAGTCACTCAGTGAGCACCTTCTGCACCACCACAAGGAACAGAAAGACAGAAGTGGCAGGAGACATGGAGACAGTAACCGAGAGAACCTCATCCCCAGCGCAACAACCCACTGTGGGGTGGGATATTGCCAAGGGACTGGGATGCAGGTTCCCTGCCCTGGGACATAGTAAAAAAACCACACATTAAAGTGCATCTACTATAAGTGAAAAACCTAATTTATACAACTAGAGCATCCAGCATTTGGTGGGGGAATAGCTGGAACTCTCTCAAATTGGAGGTCTGGTGAGCACCATTGTTTGCACTCCTTCCCCACACTGACAGTGATGCAGCGAGCAGGGTTAGGGTGCACACACCAATTTCAGACTTGGTCTAGACAGCTACGCAGCCCCCACTCACAGCCAGATGTGTCAGCTGCAAAGCACATTTAGGCCACAGCTCCTCTAGAGGAACAGAGCTAAGAGTCAATCACCCCCGACCCTGAGAGAGTGCACCCTGGCACTGCTGCCCTGCAGGTACTCACCCAGCAGCTATGCAGCCAGATACACTGCATACCAGAGCCTCTGCTGCACCTCAGACTTGGAGCCAGTAACTTCAGGGGCAAGGGTGGGAGATTTCTGGAGGCTGTGCCTGAGCCAGTGGCTGCACTGTAGCTAAGTAGCTGGTCACTGTCCAACCTTGGAGAGTACACCTCAGCAACTCCTGTACTGCAGGTATGGAGCTGGGAGCTGCAGAAGCTCACACCTGGACCTACTGCCTCCCAGCCAGCCCGCTGGTATCCACTCAGAAGCCCTTCTGATTAGACTCCTCCAACTACATACCCTGAGAGCCCTGACACCAGGATACACCTAGCTCATGCTTACTAGGCCTCCAGTCAATCATCCAAAACCACCAGGCACACAGTCAAGCCAGGGGGCCTTCCCTATGCAAGTTCAACTCTCCAAGACTGGGAGAGGCAGCCTTTTCTACTAATTCAACAGAATCAAGAACAGAAAGTGAAACAAAATGAAGAGACAGAGGAATATGCTTGAAACAAAAGAACATGACAAAACTAGTAAAAGAACACTAGAAGGAATCAACAGCAGGAATCAATCATGCAGAAGAATGGATCAGCAACTTGGAAGGCAGAGCAATGGAAAGTACTCAAGCTGAAGAGCAGAAAGAAGAAAGAAAAAAAAAGGAATGAGGACAGGATAAGGGAGCTCTAGAACAATATCAAATGCCCAAGCATTTGCATGAAAGAGTTCCAGAAGGAGAAGAGAGAGAAAGAAAGGAGTAGAAAACTTATTTGAAGAAATAATACCTGAAAACTTCCCTAACCTAGGGAAGAAAACAGACATGCAGGTCCAGGAAGCAGAGAGAGACCCATACAACATAAGCCCAAAGAGGTCCACATGAAGACACA